AGAAGGTGGTTACCGGTTAAAGGTTAACGGAACTGCATCGTTTTCGTCGTCTTTATATCGGGACGAGTTATCACTTGACCGGAGGTAAACTAAGCCTACCCTACTGTGGTTTGGCACAGCACAGATGGCGTACTTGTGCATTCCGATTGAAAAAACCCTTTCTTTCCAGCAACCAAATTAGTGAAAGAAATAAATAAAGCAACCTTAATTGGAAAGCCTTATTGTATTATGGATGGAGTAAGACATCGAGTACTAAATTTTTTTTGTTTATTAACAAAATATATATTTAATAATTACTCTTGTTTTGTGTTCCAATGCTCCACAACTATTGCTAAAACTTTATTACACAATGGTTTTCTTGAAAATAGAAATTGAAAATGTTTACAATTGGCTGCGAATTTTCTTATCGATTCATTTCCGGACGGATGTTGATTGTTGAATCGGTAATAAATTTGATCTTTTTTTATAATATCCTCCTTGTTGTTGTTTAATTTGCTCAAAAGGTGTGCATCGACTACAACAATGTTAACTAAGAACTCTGACAACTAAGGCCGTTTTGGGATAGAAATTCGTGTATTCTCCACTGTTAAGATTACTTTTAGACCCGAATCTAGATAAGAAGGTTAGCTCTCAATACAAACGTTGAAAGTTAACCAATAGCCGCGTCAATTGACAAAATTTGGCCTTTCTTTTAAGAACTATTAATGGCAGAGTCACACCTGCTCATTCATTTTCCCGACACCCGTGTACCCGCAACGCCCCTGTATATTTCATGATATCCGACCTCTCGCGGCTCGTGATAACGGCGATAAGTGCTGCCCGGCTCCTCGCGTCCTGATGAATGGACCGGCCACGTACAGCGTGGACATTGATTAATATAAAGGCGTCGCCGGTCGCCCTTTGTACAGAAGTCGTGTTGTGCGTGAACGGAGGACGTTTTTTTTAGTATTTGTTGTTATAGCGGCAACAGAAATACGTCATAGTAACAGGGTCCCGTTTTATTCTTTGGGTACGAAACCAAAACGCTTTGGGTAAAAAATACGGCCTGTAATTCATAAGGGTTAGTTCGAAATGGCGTTTTCGTATCGGTTTTTGCAAGGCAAATATAAATGGGGCGTGTAACTGTGGTAGGGCCACACAACTTTGGCTGTTGCACAAATGGGCTGGTCCGTCCGGGTTAGTAACACGACCTCACGGAAGACCGGCGTGAAGTAGAATTGTAATACTTCTGCGTTTCTTCTGGAGAGTGAGGTAGCCGGGGCCCACTTAATTAAAAGGTGGCAACGCATTTGCAACCCTAAGGGTGTTGCAAATGTCCATGGCGGTTATCACTTAACATCAGGTGAACCGCCAGCTCGCTTGCCACCTTCTAACATAAAACAAAAAAAACAAAAACACGTGATAATCGACCTCTTCTAGTCCAAGCTATTTTACTAACTGATGGTATGGTATACATTCAAGAACGAATGAAGGAAATGAATGAATGAAGGTATAAATTCAAGTTTGTTTTAATATAGTCTATCTTTTGTATAGTTCCAGTAGATGGAACGTATTGTTTTGTTTTTTGAATAATTTTTACTATTTAAGCTTTTATAAATGGATTTTGAACTAAATAATTTAATTCTTGATTTTTTATTTTACACATTAGACAATATTTTACGTGAAGGAGTGAAGTCCATGAAGTGAGATAACATATACTATATGTATTGGAGACAGCTTTAAGCTTTCCTAATAGCATTCTGCCGGCATTTATGTCGACCAAGCCACAGGCGTTAAGCCTGTTCCTTAGTTGCCAGCAACGTTGCAGAAAAGTAAAGTTTTGACACTAGCGTTCGTACTCGTAGAACTGACATAATTAAGAAATATAGCGTATGTCGGATTAAGTCTTCTTATCATCAGTAGTATAAACATGAAAAAAAAGTGATGTTTGAAATAACTTCCATTCTTCGAGCGGTTGAGAACACGCCTGAAATATCTCTGGCGGTCCATGGGCAGCGGTCCTCACCTTATCACCGGGCGAACAACTCACCCTTTTTCCATCTCTTTGAAAAATCGGCCAAGTACGAGTCGGACACGCGCACGAAGCGTTCCGTACCATTATCTGTAAAAAAGGCAAAAAAATCATGTCTTTTATATGGGAGCCCCACTTGATATTTTTTAATTCTCTTTTTAGTATAAATTTGTTGTTATGGCAACAGAAATACATCACCTGTGAAAATTTAACTGTCTAACTATCACGGTTCATGAGATACAGCCTCGTGACGGACGGACAGACAGACAGCGGAAACCTCGTAATATCATTTGGGTACGGAACCTGATGAAACGAATTGAAAATATGACCTATAGATATGTTATAAATATTACACTTACTAATCTTGTAGTTATCCTACTAATTGTGTCCTGTGTACATCGTATCAAAATCGTTGAATAATTTTCGTTCTTTTGTTTTGTATTTGTACCTACTAGTACACGGTGGCAGGCAGCTCGGTGAAATTTGGATAAAATATTGCTATCTCTGACTCCCTTGTAAAATTTTTAAGAAATATGAGCCTCTAAATATACTAATAGCATGAGTCGTGATCATCTGAAGGTCATCGTATACGTGTCTTTTTTTTGTAAATAGCCTATCTATCATAGTCTGTATTTAGGGTTTCACACCCAAAGGGTAAAACGGGGCCATATTACTAAGACTCACTGATGATGATATGATAAAAACAGCATAAAAAACATTTAAGTGGGGCTCCCATACAACTAGAAAGGCATTAAAAAAATTGTAGTGGACCGCATTGTGAATCTAAACCATTCTTTTTTTTATGTGAAAAGTTGCCAAACGAGCAGCCGGTTCACCTGATGTTAAGTGAATACCGCCGCCCATAGACATCTGCCACTCCCGAGATGCGTTGACAACCTTTTGAAATGGGCTCCGGCTACCTCACTCACCAGACGAAACGCGAAAGTATTTGTCATACTTCCACTTTACGCTGGTCTTCTGTGAGGTCGTGGTACTTACCCGGATGGGCCTGCCCAGTCGTGCAACAGCCGAAGCTGCAGCGTTCGTTCTCGAATCAATCTGAAGACACGCAAAAAATTCGTTAGTCAGTCCAGCCGTTTCGGAGGAGTTCAGTGACATACACACGCACAGAAGAAATATATATATATTAAGATGGTACGGGACCCTTTGTGCCGATCCGCACTTGTTTATGTGATGAATAGTTTTCAGCTCTGCGAAAGACGAGGGAATTGTAACTAAATGATAGCGGTGATATTTTGCGCGGCGAAATATTCTAAAGAGTGAAATTCTTGAGAAATTTACGCCACGCCGGACAAAGGCCTATCGAGCTTGTGAAAGTGTATCGGAGTGTTTCCCGCTCCTCTAACGCAGGCATCGCTTCACATGCCGCTTAAATATTCATCTCGGTGAATATGTATTTGTGTGTGAATTTATACCCATCTATTTGATATTCACTAAAAACCGGCCAAGCGCGCAGGAAGGGTTCCGTGCTATCACTACATAGTATAAAACAAAGTCGTCCCGTTGTCTGTCTGTCACAATGAATGCTTAGATCATTAAAAGTCCACAACGGATCTTGATGCGGATTTTTTTACTAGATAGAGTGATTCAAGAGGAAGGTTTATATGTATGCGAAGCCGGGGCCGATCGCTAGATATCTATAAAAACGGCCAAAAAATCATGCCACGACTGGCATGATTTTTTTCGGCGGATTCATGATCGTAGCTCCACTGAAAATTATATTTTTTATTCTGCAACAGAAAAACATTATCTGTGAAAATTTCAACTGTCGAACTATCACGTTTCGTAAGGTACAGCCCTTTTTTTTCTGTGGGAAAAATCCTTTATGGATCCCCTACCATTGGATCGGCGGAGTGGCAGGGGTATGTGGGAGTCTCGGTGAGAAACGGGTACCCACTAAAAAACCCACGTTGCACCTGTCTCTGTTGCATCGGCTGGGAACACGTGGACGCAATCTTCCGCGACCCCGGCGCGACTATGGCCCTGTTTAGGCCTCCTCTCGTGCTGTGCCGGTGCAATTAGCACAGCACACGTCTCGAGCCCCATATGGCGATAGAGACCCCCATGTCTGCCGCTCAGGGTCTCGCTATCAGGGGGGAAGGTTGCGCGCGTAGGCCAGCCTCCTGCGCCCTGGTCTCCGGCGGCGGATTTCCAGGGTGGCAGTTGCCTCCCTTTCTTCCTCCGTGGCCTCTTTCCGGGTGATAACGTGACAGCGAGAGCACCCCCCGCGCTCTCGCTGTCAACAATAGCGCGAACCACGGCTGGCAGCGAAAGGTCGTGCCCCACGATAGCGCATAGCTCGTAAGGTACAGCCTGGTTACAGATAGACAGACAGCGGAGTCTTAGTGATAGAGTCCCGTTTTACTCTTTGGGTACGGAACCTTAAAAACGCACTATGTATGCCATTGTTAAATAATAGAGTTTTACTGATTCTATTGCTTTTTTTTTGTGAAAAGTTGCCAAGCGAGCGGGCGGTTCACCTAATGTTAAGTGAATACCGTCGCCGATGGACATCTGCTACACCCGAGGGTTGCAGATGCGTTGACAACCTTTTGAAGATTGGGCTCCGGCCACCTCACTCACCATACGCAACGCAAAGTATTATACTTCCACTTGACGCCGGTCTTCTGTGACGTCGTGGTACTTACCCGGACGAGCCTGCCCATTCGTGTCACAGCCGAGGCTGCTGCGTGGCTCTACCACCGTAAAATGCTTATAGATTACAGACGTTTCAAACACCACAGTTTGGATTAAGTTGCTTAACGCCTTGTTCGGTATGTTTATTGTGATAAGAAAAGAGATGAATGCATTTAGTAAAAATTATAATCACTAAACATTCCACGGAACGGTATTAACTTAGCGACGACTCATTAACTCAACACACGCCCTTCCAGGGGACCGTATCAAAGGACAACTCATTTGGTACGGTGCACGCACCGCTCCAATTTAGGGCCGCCCGGTAATTTCAGCTCGGCACCTCGGCCCAGGGCCCGGTCGGGGCCGCTGCAGGGCTGGCGGCCTTGAAGTCGATACCAGTGGGACCTCTAACATAGTTAACATCCATTGCTTACCAGCTTAGCTCTCTTGAGCTAATGGAGATGTTGATCGCAGGCTCTCCAAGGGGCAGGGCTAGGTCGGCGCGCACCTGAAGGCTGCGCAGGGCGGGCGGGGTGGCGGAGGGGCGGGGAGTAGGGGGCGCGGAGGGGTCGGCAGCCGGGGGTGAGGCGGCGGGCGCGCCCAGTCCCGCTCCGGGCGCCGCTCGGGACGGGCGTGTTGTCGCAGGCCGCATGAGCGCGCCGGTGTGGTAGCGCAGCGTGCGCGGGTGTGGTATGCCCGCGCGTCGCCGCCATGGCCCCCGTACTGGCGGCCCTGGCTCTGCTCGCCCTTGTCCCCGGTGAGTGACGTGTGCGGCGCAACAGGCCCTGGGGGCGCTGTGCCCGTGTTGTGTTCTGGTGGTCAGGTAACGCGTGCCTCTGACAGGTAGCCGAGTCGGTGCTCGGCGTAGACAGGTAAGTAAGTCGGTTAGCGCTTGTGTGGACGCTTTGGAGCTGCGATGGAGGTTAACAGTTCCTCAGATGTAAGCTAATTTTTTTACACCGAAATTAAACCGTTGCGAGCAGTCTTGCTTAGTCAGATTATTAAATTAAGACTATGCCCAGAAATATGAAATATATATATATATATATATATATATATATATATATATATATATATATATATATATATATATATATATATATATATATTATATATATATATATATATATATATATATAGACTGAGAAGGATTTTCAGATTAGGCGTATTATTGAGTGCGACAGTCAAACTGAACAGATTTTCGTGTCACAATTACTTTCAATATTTTAAAGTTAAAAGAAACTTTTTCGCAATTTCACACTGGAATGGAAAGGAGAAATATTTTTCCATGGTCAGTATTTTAGTATTCTTATGATCTAGATTTTTTATACAACAAATTAAATTTTTTCGACTACATTTACGTATCCCATTTTAATCATCAAAAGAAACGCTTATCCGCAAATTTAATCATAACGTGAAATTTATATTACGAACAGCGCGCGTAAATATTTGATCAAGTGTACGTTAAAACTTTCCTTCGACCGACAAGGGATTTCGCCAAAGGGAAGCATAAAAAGTTTCAAAGATTTCCTCCGAGGACACGGGGGGAGCAATTCGAAGTTTGAACCTGACCCTCGACTTTGCGTTATATTTATCCCCATCATGTAGGTAATTAAGATATGTTTGTCTCAAGTTTTGGGGACAATGCCCTTAGATGCCCCTCTCAAGTCGGCATACATTAGTGACGTGAAATGGAACAAAGAACAATAGACGACTATATTTCCTTTGATAATCTTACCTTAGTTACTTTAATGACTACATTGCGTATAGCTGACAGGTTGAACGCAGTAAATAACCCAGTTTTTATGGACGAAATAAATTAAAATTTCTTTCTAATTTCCTCTAATAGCTATGTATACGTCTCTGTCAACTTATTAATAATGAACTTCCAATTATTTCATTATTTGTTAAATAAAATAGGTTATATTATTTAGTGCAATCTAAATTAGATAAATGATGTATGGAAACTACGAATTACATTGTAATACTGGAATGACTTCGAATGGGAAATGTCTACGTTTTATTGCAACTCATGCAACGGTAGATCTTTCAGAACCGATAGCTCTCGGCAATCCACGAGTGTGGGCACTCGAAAGCAAAACGAAAATCGTAAACCGTTAGAGAGCGCAACAATAGACTCCTATAGAGAGAGTGTAACAAAGATTAGGAACACGGGGGTGTATTCCGAAAATCAAAACTCTAAAGTACGTGGAAAAGTACACAAAGGGACGTCAAAGAATAGATTGGCCGTGTGTTCAGCTACGAGGGCCGCCCCGGGCGATGGAGGCTCTTAGGCGAAGTGTGGCCAAGGCGCCCCAAGCCTCATTCAAGCCCAGCACACGTGTCGAGTATTTGTTCGCTCCTGACAAAGGAGCCGCGTCTTTCCTGCACACGACTTTACCTCTATTAAGGGCGGCCTCGGAAGGAGAATACAACTGTTTGCGTTACATAGTTGGATTAGGGGAATTGTTTGTCTTAAATGACAAGGGCTAACAGTGTTCACTCAAATAAATAAAATGAATGTAGAGAATACTACTTGCAGGTTTTAAATTCTGTTCATAAGTAGACGTATTTTGTAATAACAGCGGTGTGGAGTCTAGACTAAAGACAATAAGGCAACCGCCGATGCAATTTCAAGTCAAAGTCAACGAACTCTCGTCTGAAGCGTGACACAACTAGTCTGTGGCACCCAGTGGCGTTAAAACTTATCTACGACTCGGTAACTGCACCGCAAAAGCACTCTTCAACATCACAGATAACCTCATCCCGCAGGCTCTTACGGCCCTGTCATTAACGTTTCGCTACGCTAGATAGGTGGGTTTGATCGGCATATGTTTCAAAATAGTGCATCAAAGTTCAAACAGTTGTCTGTAGCCATAAGTGGCTTCGCAGCCGCCGCAGTTTAAAGGTGAAACATCCGCTGGTATCCGCTGGTTCATTTGATTCCCACGATGTCACCACACGTTGATTAAAGTTGATTGGCATTCATCCGCCCGCAATCGATGCCGTGTTTTTCAACCGACTTAAACGGACGGGGTTCTCAAACTGTATTTTTTTTTTTATGTTTGTCACCTCGGAACATTCAATTGAGCGAACCGATTTTGATGATTCTTTTTTTATTTGAAAGCTGATGCTTCCCACGTGGTCCCATAATCTCATTGGTATTGGATCTTGGGCTCCGGAGATACTTAGGAAACGACAGAAAATCAATTACTTATAAATAAAATTAAAGATATTTGAAGTCAGTTTTGTTTTTCGTTAATATAAAATGGGCTAGTTCGTAGGTCATTTATCCTTTAAGCATCTATCATCACTTCCTTACAACAACGCTTTTTCGTATGATGGCGGCAGATTAGGGAACTCCTGAAAATCAACTATAAAATGAATACAGAGCGATATATTTGAGGTCGGTTTTGTTTTTCGTTAATAAAAATATGGACTTGTTCACATACTAAGTCCTCGGGCGTTCCGTTCCAGTGAATAATTGGGTAGAGTTTATTTTTATTCAAACGAGGCCGGCTCGTGCGTGGCGCGCTAAGAGTTTGTTGTCAACTAAAAAGAAAATTAGAGACGTTTAAATGATTTAAAGAATCATATAATTATAGCACGGACGCACGTTAAATGATTAATGAAATTAGCGTTTTTATTATTTAACCGCAGGAATTTAAAAAAAATTAAGAAAAAGAAACCGAGGTAAGCAGTTTTCTTACCTCGTAGTTTTTCCATTTCAATGAAAACTCATAAAAACACCCGTTTAAATTTTAGCAAACTGTGTACCGATACTTGAGGTAATATAAGTTGTAATCAACGCTTCAAGCATATGCATACACATGTATATAATACACGATAACACGTATTCCAATCAATCGAAATTACGCACATGAAATTTCCCCAGACAATAGAAATGTTAATACGGTGTTAGTCTGAATACCGAGGGATCATCCGGCTGTTTACAGAATACGACCTCTGGAATTCCTCTTAAACATAAGCCAACTGTTATATATCCATCAAAAAAAGTAAACAAAACTCGTATAGATTTTTATCAATAACAGCTTATAATTACGCGAAGTCTACTATCTAGATTTTATTGCTTCCTATTTAAACTTATTTTTTGAACGCTTCACAAATTCCATGGTAAAGGGACAAAGAAAACCCCGTTCGGAACGTCGAGGTTCAATACAAAATATGTAAGTGTTTAAACTCGTAAAATATATTTATTTAGATAGAAGAATTCATTTTTAACTGTGTAAAAATGACCTCAATCGATAATGATATTGCATAAAACATAATCTAGATAGTTTATAACTGTAGCTCGGAAACAAATGTACGAATTTATTTATTGGTTATTGGTAATAATGTATATAGAAAATTCGTGTGAAATACACAATTTTACACAACTTTATTAATTTTACACAACGCAGAATTTAGGAGTTTTGAAAAATTTCATCATGTTCATTTCACATTTAATTGAAAAAAAAAAAATTAGCGTTAATTTTAATCACGCCAATATTCAAGCTATGAACACCGTTAAAAATAATTTTATCGAAATTGACCTTAGCGTAGCAAATACGAAAAGTACGTTCGAATACTTAATGCTTTGATCATTAATAAGATGAGGAAGGTATGAATACATGTGTTGGTCTAATCATTTTTAAATTATTTGCGTTACAATTTTGCTCCTTTACATAATAAATTCTGTATTGTGTCTAAGGAGTAAATGAGCAGACTTATGGACTTAGTAAATTTTTTGCTCGCTATTCAATGTTTCTTGTATGAAACCCACACCACACACACACACACACACTACACGTACTTTTGTCAACACCTTAAATTTATATACAAACGTTCAGTTTACGAATTGTTGTACGAATTACAGTTGTACGAATCGACAGCAAATGTTGTAGTATACATTTGAAAAAGAACCATTATTCTTAAAGTAATATTTATGAACATCTGTTAGTAACAGTGAGTAGAAATTTAGAAACCCGTCATCCATTTTGCTTCAAGTGAAATTGGATGTCTTTAAAACGGGATGCTCCTCCTCTCTTGGGCGATCAATCTTTCTTAATAGTCGTTTTAACTTCTAATAGAAATTTCGCAGAAGCTAATGACTCCGGCGGGTTTAATTCTTTTATTTTCAATGTTTCGATGTTGCGCATTTCATTTTCTATGTATATTTTTGTGTGGATCACAGCCGTAGCCAGTTTTTGTAATGGTCTTCCCAATATTTCCTCTTATAGTTGTAAAAACGGTCATGTAAAGTAAATTACAAAATAGCGCGGGCTGAAATTCTTTCAAAAGAATAGGTACTTATTTTAAAATAAGAATAAAAACCAAATGTAAACTTTTCATGACATATAACGAATAAAATAAACCTTAACAATTCTTGTAAAAGGCGAAAAAAGATAAAAAACACAATGTTGTGTCAACATTTTTTTTACTTGTAGGTAAAATGTTTAAATAAAAACTGAACTATTAATCATTAAAATGTTAGTAATTTCTAAAAATTTTTTTTCTAATATTACTTTGTGTTTTATATTATACAAATATATGGCGGCATCGCGTAGCTTGTTAGAAACTTAAGCTTTTTTTGTAAAATGCGAATTAGAACTTTGAAAATTGTTAGTTTTAACGGTGGTAGGGCCACGCAGCAGTCTCGGCTGTTGCACGAATGGGCAGGCTCGTCAGGGTAAGGACCACAACCTCACAGAAGACCGGCGTAAAGTGAAAGTGTAATACTTTCGCGTTTCGTCTGGTGGGTGAGGCTACCTCACGGAGCCCAATTTTCAAAAGGTTGTCAACGCATCTGCAACCCTCGGGTGTTGCGGATGTCCATGGATGTTGTGGCGGTTTTCACTTAACATCAGGTGAACCGTCTGCTCGCTTGGCAACTTTTCATATAAAAAAAGAACACTCACGCAAATAATTGTTTAAACCCTTGAAATTGGTCATCAATTGAAAATACACGATTGAACCGTTGTATATTCCCGTAACTTATTGAAATCGATAACATTGTTTTCGCGGTTAAGGATCGCTTTCAGATTGTATGAAGTTGATTGATCAGCTTGTTCTAAAAGAGGATACCAATACAAATTCATTATTAATATTATTTTTACGCGAATATATATATTATAAAAAAGCGTACATTTTACACTGGGTATATGGGCAAACTCTAAAATCCGATCTATTTCAAAAATTTACCAAAACCTACCTTACCACTCAGTATCATAATTATGATAGATAGAAGATATTTGAAATGCCAAATCCAAGTAGTTGTGTTAGTTGAAAGAAAAAAACAGGGAAAGCTTACATATTGGATAGCTGCCATACAAACGCTTTAGTTTGCCATTAAATGATAAAACATTAAAATTGCTCTATGGGTGCTATTTAATTATTTAAATATTCTAGTCTGCCAGGCACGAAATTAAACGTAATTTCTAATTCGTACTTCCTTGCGGTTTAATAATACAGTTATATTAAAAACTGGAATTTTGGCGGCAGTGTTATCTCAATTCTTGAACCCACTCGCCGCATTCAATGTAAATTTGCTCGCTGCAAGCCGTTAACGAATTCCCAGGGCACAGAATAAGCGGAATAAATGCTGTGTAGCAGTGTTGAAAACAGTAGCGGTCGACATGCCGAGAGGCTGAGTAATTTTCAAAAGGCGGGCTACGCAAAGCGGCTTGCTTCCGAGAGCTTCCTTGAGGCGGGGTAAAGGGAGTGTTTTTGCCGATGTACGGATTAATTAGGGAAACATTTTATATGTTCACGAGGCGATTACGCAACTATTGTATAATTTTACATGTTACAAACGCGTTTGCAGCCTATCTTGGCCAATATAGGTTGCAATGTTGAAATGCTGATATTTCATAGTTTTAAAATGTTACAACAGAGGGTAATATAATACTATTTTAGGAGTATGTATCTTCTTTTACAGACTCTTTAATAGATTAGAGCTTGTTTCCGAACTGTAAAATTATTTTCATTGCAAAAAAATCTGTGAGTATTAAAAAGTTTCACAGTAAGACAAAAATATGTAACACGTAATAACACAGTCAGTGCTTAAAATAAAATAAAACATGTTTGGACCAAGATGTACCTTCGAACATGGGAAATATGTCTTTCATTATCGACGTAGAAAGTCTTCAATTGTAAATTACATCATGCTGATATGGCAACTTATTGATGTTGAGTGGTTGAGGTTTACAAGTTTCGTTTAAAAAACAGGCAGCGATTTTTATATGCCTGATAAAAAGAGGAAGGGCCATAAGTGCACGCCAATAAGATATAAGCTCTCAGCATAATATTTTTTGAAGAGAAGGTGGTAAACCAGACCACTGATTCTGTCCGGCAGTCTTCTAGTTGAAGCTGTGTTGCCTCACTCAACAGACCTATTTAGGAATACTGTGACTTTGATGGGTTCCTAAAATGTATGGCCCTGCGTGCGAGACAGCAGATGACCAGCAATCTACCGTCTCGCTCGCATGACGTCACCTTGTCTCTCTAGCCTCACCAGCCACTTCGACCCTGGTTTTAATAATTGACTGAAAAATTTTATTTCTTTCATCTAGTTTGTCGCTTTGAGCCCGAAGCGTTCGCTTAATTACTTAGACGTTACTTTCTTGGCTCGTTTAAGAAGTTCACAATGAGCCCTCCACCTTTAGCGGTTTCCTTGAAAGTGCTCCCGTGAAATGGCCTTAGCGAATTACAACCCGCCTCTTCGTATTACGAGTGTTTTTCTTACAGCTTTGACTCGAGCATCAATTACCTAGGAATTTGTGAAAGGGAATGCGAAGTGAACGACTCTAGACAAAGGGAATACGCCAAAATCTGTGCACTTATGAGCATTTTCACGCGGTTTTGTGAGAATTTTTGTTTGAGATAGTAAAAAAGTCAATTTTTGCTGTATGAAAAGTATATCGTGGATTATAATGTATTTAAATGATGAAATATTAGCGTGTCGTAGATACCTCATTTCTATTAATACTTTGCCGTTGTTTAGACAGTAAAAGAACTTATAGGGCGATATTCGCGCCAATGTAAAGTGCTGATAGGATTATTAAGCAAAAAATATATTGAGATTTTCGAATGTCTGTAGCGTCTGTACTATAGGCACTACAGACAACGGGATGAATGATAAGACAGTTTCACTCCACAATGTCTGGTTTAGCTTTGGTATTTTTATGGAAGGTGTTGGGTAGTAAGTCCTAACGAACACCTACCACCACCTACGACCACCCAACGGCGCCTAGAAAAATCTATTGTAGACTTCCCTTCGAAAACATTGCCTTCTTACGGTAGGATAACATTATCCTGCGTTGTTAGTACATTTTAAATACATAAATTTCACGTGGACAAACACCTTTATCCGAAACAATTTGATGTGTGTCACAGAAATAGTTGTTCCGTGTGGGAATCGAACCCATGACCCCCGGGGCCGAAGTCTTGGCAACTGCCCCACGGAGTCACAGCTTTAGCACGGTCTATCTTATAAAAAGGACAGTTATAAAAAGCTATTTATAGCTATAAAAAGGATTTAGCAGATGCGATCGTGTTACCGTTCGGAATATTTTAGGCGTTCCACTGGTTTGTGCGAGTTTCATTAGTGCACCAGCCGCTCTACGAGACTACGAATGAAATGTGGCTACGTTTCGTAGCACGCTGCGAAATTAAGAGTTTTCGACGTCGACGGCGAAACCGCCTCGCTGTGATTACGGTCAACGAAC